GGATTGTTCTTCATTCTTTAAATATGCCTGGATTGCTGTATACTTTCCTCTTATGACTGCTTTCACTGCATCCTACAGAAGATGGGGCTTTGTGTTGTTGTTGTCATTTGTTTCCATATATTGCTTGATCTCTATTTTAATATGGTTGTTGATCCATTGACTAGCCTCCATGTGTTTGTGAGCCTTTTTATTTTCTTTGTACAATTTATTTCCAGTTTTATACCTTTGTGGTCTGAAAAGTTGGCTGGTAGAATTTCAATCTCTTTGAATTTACTGAGGCTCTTTTTGTGACCTAGTATGTGGTCTATTCTGGAGAATGTTCCATGTGCACTTGAGAAGAATGTGTATCCTGTTGCTTTTGGATGTAGAGTTCTGTAGATGTCTATTAGGTCCATCTGTTCTAATGTGTTGTTCAGTGCCTCTGTGTCTACTTATTTTCTGTCTGGTAGATCTATCCTTTGGAGTGAGTGGTGTGTTGAAATCTCCTAAGATGAGTGCATTGCCTTCTATTTCCTCCTTTAATTCTGTTAGTATTTGTTTCACATATGCTGATGCTCCTGTGTTGGGTGCATATATATTTATAATGGTTATATCCTCTTGTTGGACTGAGCACTTTATCATTATGTAATGTCCTTCTTTATCTTTTGTTACTTCTTTGTTTTGAAGTCTATTTTGTCTGATACTAGTACTGCAACACCTGCTTTTTTTCTCCTTGTTTGCATGAAATATCTTTTTCCATCCCTTGACTTTTAGTCTGTGCATGTCTTTGGGTTTGAGGTGAGTCTCTTGTAAGGTGCATATAGATGGGTTTTGCTTTTTTATCCATTCTATTACTTTGTGTCTTTTGATTGGTGCATTCAGTCCATTTACATTTAGGGTGATTATTGAAAGATATGTGCTTATTGCAATTGCAGGCTTTAGATTTGTGGTTCCCAAAGGTTATCTTCTTTAGTATCTTACTGTCTAACTTAACTCACTTATTGAGCTATTATAAACACTGTCTGATGATTCTTTATTTCTCTCCCTTCTTATTCCTCCTTCTCCATTCTTTATATGTTGGGTGTTTTATTCTGTGCTCTTTTGTGTTTCCTTTGACTGCTTTTGTGTGTAGTTGATTTTATTTTTTGCCTTTAGTTAGTATTTGGTTGGTCTGCTTTCTTTGCTGTGATTTTATTTTCTCCGGTGACATCTATTTAGCCTTATTAGTGCTTTCATCTAGAGCAGTCCCTGTAAAATACCCTGTAGAGGTGGTTTGTGGGAGGCATGTTCCTTCATCTTTTGCTTGTCTGGGAATTGTTTAATCCCTCTTTCATATTTAAATTATAATCTTTCTGGATATAGTATCCTTGGTTCAAAGCCCTTCTGTTTCATTGCATTAAATATATCATGCCATTCTCTTCTGGCCTGTAAGGTTTCTGTTCAGAAGTCTGATGATAGCCTGATGGGTTTTCCTTTGTAGGTGACCTTTTTTCTCTCTCTAGCTGCATTTAAAACTCTGTCCTTCTCCTTGATTTTTGCCATTTTAATTATTATGTGTCTTGGTGTTGTCCTCCTTCAGTCCCTTCTGTTGGGAGTTCGGTGTACTTCTGTGGTCTGAGCGACTATATCCTTCCCAGTTTCAGCAATTATTTCTTCAAATACACTTTGTATCCCTTTTTCTCTCTCTTCTTATTTTGGTACACCTATAATGTGGATATTGTTCCTTTTGTATTGGTCACACAGTTCTCTTAATATTGTTTCATTCCTGGAGATCCTTTTATCTCTCTCTGCGTCAGCTTCTATGCGTTCCTGTTCTCTGGTTTCTATTCCATCAATGGCCTTTTACATCTCGTCCATTCTGCTTTTAAATCCTTCCAGAGATTGTTTTACTTTTGTAGTCTCCCTCCCTACTTTGTCTGTTAGCTCTTGCATTTTTCTCTGTAGCTCCATCAGCATGGTTATGACCTTTATTTTGAATTCTTTTTCAGGGAGATTGGTTAGATCTATCTCTCCAAGCTCCTTCTCAAGGGTTGTCTCTGTTATTTTGGTCTGGATCAAATTCTTCTGCCTTTTCATGGTGATAGAGGTGGTTGTGGGCAGCTGGCAAGTGTGTTGACTGGGAGAACGTCCCTTCTTACTAGTTTGTGGCCTTCCCTTCCTGGGGGAACGGTGACCCCTAGAGCCTTGTGCTGGTTAGCTGCATGCAGACCGGGTCTGTGATTCTTGTTGGGTCTCTGTGGAGTAAGCTCTGTGCTTGCTGTGGGTATGGTCACTCTCAGGCTGCTGCTCCGCTATTGGCATAGTTGCGTCGGAGGGGAAATGGGCGGGAGGCTGTTTATCGCAGTGAGGGGCCTCAGAGCTGCACTGCCACCCAGGGGATTAGGGCGCCTGGAGTTCCCCGGGATTCCCAGCTGCTGGGCTGAGTGTCCTGGGACGCTTCCGTATAGCTGTGGGGTCCCTGTTTAAGACTTTCAAAAAGCACTCACTTTTCTTTGTCCCAGGGGTGCCGGCTGCAAGGACCCGCTCGCAGGTTTTACTCTTCCGTTTCCCTGGTATCCAGCACCCTATGCACTGTGTGTCTGTGCTCCAGTGCAGATGGCTAGGGCTGGATATCTAGCAGTCCTGGGCTCCCTCTCCCTCCCCTCTCTGACTGCTCTCCTCCCACTGGGGAGCTGAGGTGGGGGGTGCTCAGGTCTTGCTGGGCCGCAGCTTGTATCTTACCCTCTTCGCAAGGTGCTGGGTTCTTGCAGGTGTAGATGTAGTCTGTCTGTTGCCCTGTATCTTCTGGTCTTTCTTTTAGGGATAGTTGTATTTGTTGTATTTTCCAATATATATGGTTTTGAGAGGAGATTTCTGCTGCTCTACTCATGCTGGCATCTTGGCTCCTCCTGGCCCTCATTTGTATCTATTAGTTTCTATGGTAAGCTGGTTTTAGGATGGCTCCACAGAATTCCTCAATAATTAAGGTTACTTATCTTTTTAGGGTTCTCTGTATTCATGGGGAGGGGAAAATAAGTGACATGAATCTTGATGCTGTAAGCTCTTAGAGAAATTGGGGTACCTCACAAACAATTAATGGGGAAAAGTGATTAGCAAGTCAATGTTTATGGAAAAGCAAATTGATACATGTTCTTGTAACAGTATAGTATCAACAGTTATCTATCCCCTGATTGTTCCAACAAAGACAAAAAAATTTTTTTAATGAAAATATCTGAAATGATTTAATTTTAATATTTAATGTAAATGATGGGTAACAGGTATTTTTCATTGTGTTGTGGGCAGACATCTTGTGCTGTCTACCTTCTTTGCCCCAAAAGATAATTTATTTCATTGCTTTTGAACTATCATCTTTATGTATCTGTGTACAGGTATTAGAGAAAAACATATACAAACACTCTCCATATTTTCTTTAGGAGTGGAATTGTGCATATCAGTTTCTTCCATACATTTTTTAATGGCTTTGTGTTGTTTTATCTTGCCTTTTTTTTTCTTCTGGAGCTCTTTGGTGACATAAGCTGTATGACACATTAATAACTTCTTTTTCCCTCAAGAGTAACATCAATTTTTAGTCAAATGCATAAGCCTTCCCATTTCTACTGACTCCTTTGGTATTAGTGAGTAAATATGCCATTTGTGAGCTGATGTGTGTTTTCTCGTTCTCACTTAGCCATCCATACCTACATAATAATAAGTAATATATGGTAATTTTGATATCAGAATAGTTGGGAAGAGTGAATTTTTATTTTGCTTTGCTTTGAAAATAAACATCTACAGAGCACCTACCTCCCAGAGTTGTGATGAGGTTTTATGAGTTAGAAATAGGAATAGATTCACATTCTGTATTTTCATATTTGCTAGAGATTCATTGATAGAAGTGTAGAGAAGTAAAGGCTGTTTAAGCAGAGAGAAGGGGTAGAAGAGGGATCTTATAATTTATTCTAATATGAGTATATGTACCTCACTTTTTTGAGTGGATGTTAAGTCTCATGGATTTCAGGAGCTTTGCTACAGATTGTGCAGAGTACTTATCTTGAATTGTATTTTAGTGTCCTGAACTTTAAACATTGACCACACCTTTTCATTTAATCTTGTTTTGAGATGATAGTTATTGACTGCAGAACATAACCAATCATTGCCTTAATTACTATCAGTTCTGAGTTCTAAATCATACTAAAATGTAGTCTTACTTTTATAAAGGAATGAAGGACTCTATTTCAGATAGTTTTGCTACAACACTACAGCAAATTAATACCTTGGGAGCTTCAAGTTTTATAGTGATAAGCTGAACTCTCTCTGTTCAACTTGTACAGTCTTACTATATTAAAAGAATTGCTGTATTTGCTGCAGTAGAATTAACACTGTTGTGTGGTGGAGTAAGTAATAAAACTATGACAGGTAAAATAGCTCCTACAAGAGTCTGATAGGCCTTGAAAATAACTCACTGAGAGAGAAGACAATATAGCTTTGCCAGAGTTTGAATCCCATCTCTTACTAGCTATAGAACCTTGGAAAATTATACATTCTGTTCCCCATTTTCATCATCTGTAAAATGAGAGTAGTCAGAGCACCTACCTCCCAGAGTAGTTATGAGGTTTTATGAGTTAGTATGTAACAAAATTGCCTGATATTTGTAAATATCAGCTATTATTATTAGCTAACATTACCTTATAAGTGATTTCCATGCCTTCTGTGTTCTTTTAGTGTACTGGTAGAGTCCATTCTTTGTCTTGCATATCTACTACAATGTGTTGTGCAGTGTTTTTATAGTAAATGTAGTTGAATGAAGATAAAAGTGAGGTCTAATATGTAAGGTACGTATCACATATTCTATTTTTGAATAAAATCAGTTTTTAATCTAGTTGCAATTCATTGCTATTTGCTTGACTTATTTGAAAGTGTTTCTTTTAATGTTTCAGAAATTGCTTTTTAGTAGATAAACTGAATAGCTACTATAAGAGTATGTTACTTAGTTTCTCACTTCTTACTATTTTTTTTTTTTCTTTTGGTATTGGTGGAAATAGTGCCTCAGTGTGTCTGGAGAATAAATGTGGATATCCCTGAGGAAGCTAATGAGAATCTTTCATTCAGTGCTACTGAGCGATGGTGGGAGCAGACGGATTTGGCCAAACTAATCTTATCCAACAATAAACTTCAGTCACTTACAGATGACCTCCGACTCCTGCCTGCACTCACTGTTCTTGATGTAAGTTGACTGATTATAAATATGAGTCATTAGTTGAAGAGACTAAAGCTAAATTTAGGCTTCCATTAGCAGAAAACCCACATTCAGGTGGTAGAATGCAAGAAAGAATAACACATTACATGTTAGACATAACGTGATGATTAGGAGCACATAGTCACATGAGGCTTCAAATTATGACTCTGTCACTTGATAGCTGTGTGACTCTGGGAGAGTTACCTTTTTATGTCTCAGTTTTCACATCCATGGACTAGAACTACTTCGTTTATACTACTACCTACTTTTTAAAAATTGTTCTTAGAATTAATGCTTACAAACAGAATTGGCATTTAACAAGTGGTTGCTGCTGTTCAATTTTTGTTTATTGATATTTTTTCTTATTTCCCGTGCTGTACTTTCAGCTCTGTGACTGTTTTATAATTGGATATTTGTGGCTCTTTATCCCCTTCACCTATTTCAACAATAATAATATTACTATTATTTTTATCATTATTTTTCCAGACATTAAAGCAAGTACTTAAAATTGATGTTTTTTTTTTTTTTTTACTTGCCTCCTGCACTGACTTAAATTATTGAACTTAAATTTTTGTATGTTTATTCAGGGACTATGTTTTTTTAGTCTCTGGTTGCTTTGTCATATGGTACAGCATGAGTAATTTATTTCCCAGTCTGCAGATTTCTGGTATACTTTACTTAGGAACACCAAAAATCTTCCTATTCATGTCTGAAAAAGATGGATAGATACAAATTTCTAGAGAACTTTCAATTTTCCTCATTAGTAAATTGAATGATTTGGCTTAATTGTTCTCTGAAATTCCTTGTACCTTGAAAACTATGATTCTATGAGAACATGAGAGTAGTCCCCATCTTCTTCCTCATTTATTTTTTGTGTGTTGTCATAAATTTATTTTGACATTTCTGATGACACAAATCATACCATAAGAAGCTTAATTTCTAACCCTCTCATCTCTTTTCAAGATTAAAATTCTGCTTACTGGGGTGGAGGGTTTTAAAAAATTTTATCTTAATATTTTAAATTGATAACTTATTCATGATTTCTGAACAGCAGTTTGGTCAATTTCAAACTCCTTTTCCTCTTCTATACACATAACAAATGACCAATCGTCCAACTCTATGCTATGAATTAGAAGAACAGGATTATTGTTGAAGAATTTGTACAGTGGCAAAGTTCATATGGGGTTAATTGTAAGACTAAAATATTGACTTTGTCTTTTGATAACTTTTAGGTACATGATAATCAGCTGACATCCCTTCCTTCTGCTATAAGAGAGTTAGAAAATCTTCAGAAACTTAATGTCAGGTAAAATTTAAGCTACTTCAATATTGGTAGTATAAAGCTATAAATCTAATATTCTTTACAATTTTTTTCTAACACTAGAAAATTTTGTTGTATTATCTCAGAAGGTGATTAAAGCTGAATAAAAGTTTTAGTTTTAATTTTAAGATTTTTGATTTTAAAATTGCTACATTTTTCTCATTTCACAAATTTAAGGCCAATTGATTTTTTAAAAAGTTTTTTTTTATGAAACAATTTTTAGTGATGATTTTACAAAATCTCTGTTGATATATCAAGTTTTAAGTTACCAAGTCCCAAAAATATCCAGGTGGTAAGCAATAGGAAGAATTTTTTTGTTTAATTAGAGTGTCATTGATAAACAATCTTATGAAGGTTTCACATGAATAATATTGTGGTTTCAACATTCACCCATATTATCAAGTCCTCACACCCCCATTTCAGTCACTGTCTATCAGCGTAGTAAGATGGCAACAGGAAGAAATTTAAAACAATTACTTTATTAATTTAAAATTTCATGGTTTTGATATTAATAGTTTTTCGACTTTTCTGAGGACTTTTGGGGTTCTATGCTTTTGGTACTCATTGATAGCAACACAGGGACCAGGCAGCTAAGGCTCTAGTTAACTCTGTTTGCCCCTCAGTACACATTTCAACTTTCAAAAGAATAACTGCTTTTACATGTTATATATACAGATATTAGAGAAAAAGGGATTATGGGAAGATTTCATTTAGGAGAGAAAAAAAGATTTTAAGTATTAAAAACAGTTTGAAAAACTGTGGTTTATAAAAAGGATATGGTTATAAATCTAAGCATGGTCAAACCTGTTTTCTGCAGGTGAGTTAACTGGTTTGAGGTAAAATAGGTCCTCACATGACAATCTTCATCAGGTGAAAAAACTTAAAATTACCATAAATTAGCAAAAATATCTATACATAAAATGGTGTTAATTGATAAGAACTACATCAGAACCTCTTTCCCTTATAAGTCAGACATGGATGTGGCCTGCAGAAGCAGAAATGGGTAGGCTGAGAGGAAAAGGTGAGGGAGTATGGAGTGGATGTGGCTTTAGCATTAGCTTTCCAACTCTTGTTACATCTCTGCTCAAATAGATTCCTATAAAATATACAAAAAAATCAATTAAGTCACCAACAGTAGTAACCCATTTTTGAAGTTTTCAGTCGTTCTTATTTTAGAAGACATCTGGCATTTTTGTTTGAACTACTTTTATTTTAATGCAATTTAAGGCTATTGTTATCCCTTAAAAGTTGCCATTTCCCCGTTGTTTTTTAAATAATTGTATAAGGCATGAAAATAGAGTTAAATTCATAAGTGAATAATTTGATTGACATAAATATGGGAATAAGTTAAGTCATCTCTTAATTATAAGGGGGTTTATCATTGTCAATGATTTGGGACTTGTCCTAAACCTGAATATCTGTCGAAGAACTGAGCTACAAAGTTAAGACTAGGTATAAAGAAGAGTGGAATTGCATATTACATTCAACTGGACACACTAGGCCCTTAAACAGAAATAACTATTTTTTGTCTTGAGTGCTAGGTTTAAAACATAATCCCTATATAAAATGTGACTCCACTGTAGTGTGTGTGTGTACATATCTTTGTCAAAATTTTAAAACTCAGATACAGTATGCAAAATTAAGAATCCAGTATATCTTTCACATAGGTAATATCAAGAGTTGGTTATAGGAAGCAGTCAAAAGTTCACAAATTGTTTGGTTAAGAACCTTCATTTCTTTGTTATTTTTCTTTGAAACTCTTGATTTTATTACTTTAGGTTACTGTCATTTTAATAAGGGTATATTTTTAGGATGTAAAATTTTTAAGTACTGAAAATTGGTGACCATACTTCATTTTTTAAATGAACCCATGAATTTGGTTATAATAATGCTTTTATAAATATTATGTTGGCACCAGATTATTCAGCATTTATTTTATCAATCAATAGTCATAACAAACTGAAAGTACTCCCCGAAGAAATTACAAATCTAAGAAACCTAAAGGGCCTGTATCTCCAGCATAATGAACTAACTTGTGTACCAGAGGGATTTGAACAACTTTTCAATTTAGAAGATTTGGTAAGTTGTGATTTTCCAAATTTTATCTAATTTGGGGCTGCTGGGATTTTTCATCAGACTTAGAAATTGGGTATATGATTGAAATCATGAGAATATGAACAGTTGATTGTATGACTAGATTATCAGAAACTCTGTATTTCAATTAGATCACTAAATTAATAATTGTATATTTGTTTTTCCTATGTTTTCTTATGAAATCACCTTAGGTTTTAATTTAGGAATAGAGTTTGGGCAAGGGGTGATAAGGATGCTTTGTTATTCAGAGTTTTTCTGACTTTAAGGTATCTTTAGCATACTAATTTCCTTTTCTGCAGTTCCTACTTCCTTTTTTATAGCCCATTATGGCCCTCCTGGCCTGGAATGCCCACATAATCCCTTTAAGACCTTCGCTTTCTTCCCCATTTTTCAAAATGGCCACGTTACCTGGCAATATTTTCATTCTATCTGTTTTACATCTGAAACAGAGTTACCCATAAGGTATATAAATACTATTTTAATCATATTATTAAGAATAATAAAAAATATGCACTTTGTTTAGTGCTTTACATATAGCAAGATACAGTTTTATCCCCGAAAACAGATAAAAAACTAAGGCTTATAAAAAATAACTTAATTCAAATCATGTAACTAATAGATAAGGAATTCAGGATTTTAACATAAGTCAATTTGATTCCAAAGCGTTTCCTTTTTTTTTTCTTCCCACTTAATCACTGAGGAAGTAAAATTCCACTGTAAGGTATTGTTACCAACTAAATATGAGTTTGTTTGGTGAGTTGAAATAAAAAAATTTCATTAGAAGTAGTTGTCACACAAAGTAAATATTATTTGTATCAACCTCCGGGGAATCACTTCCAAAGTCAAGGCTCTACAGCAATAGAAAGCAAGTCTTTTTACTAGAATGATTAGAAAGGGAAGGTTTTACACCACGTATAGAGGCGGGTGTAAGTTCCTGCTGGTACAGTTTAAAAACATGTTTCTACGTACATAGTTGTGCCTAGATTAATGTTGTAGCTCCCTCCTTGATGAGAACTTTACTTTGATAATGAGGTAAAGGTAATTTGGGACACTTTTTGGCTTATCTGTAGAGGTGTCCCTTCTCTGATGTAGACCGAACTGATATAGAACAGTTAGTGGTTGCTTTTCCTCCTGGAACTTAACTGAAAAACAACTTTGAAAGGCATTAGATGCTTTGGAAATCTTAGGGTTGTGAAATAGAAATGGGTCAAAACAGACTTTTGAGCTGCTCAGGGTATTAACACGTGACAATATCCTATCTGAAAGACTTTAGCTACGTTAGCAGATGTTCTAATACCCAATCTTTATTCCACATAGTTCTTTTCATAGTTCATTCTTGTTCTTTTCTCTACCACATGTTTTGAAAAAACTCATTTATGTCATTTTAGCCTTAAAGTTTATTTTTCACTAAAGGAAAAATTACTTCTTTTACTTCCATTTTGCTGTAAATATGCCCTCCTTGATATTTTCCTCAGAGTGTTTGAAATAAAAAATATATACTGTTTTCAAACATTTCTTCAGTTCTCTCTTTGTTTTGCAGTCTCATCAAATTGGAGATTAGGTTTGAAAAGTAAAAGGCAAGACACATAAAATCAATGGCAGAGGATAGAGCTATCAGATTTTCTTATAAAATTTAATGGTAAAAGAATTTTTTTTAAAAAAGCATCTAGGGTAGAAAGGAAACCTAATAACTATAGCAGTGCCCAGTTGTTTCCTCTTTATTGATTCCCAGGTAGTTCTTTGCATAGTGAAAGGATGTTTCAGTTGAAAATTGTGTTCTTAAGGACTCATTAGCAAATAAGTCATAAATGTGAGCAGCAATATATTAAAACATTAAAAGTAAAACTGCTTAGCACAATGGCACTAAATAAATATTTATTGAAGAAATTACTTAACATAAATGCTGATTAATTTATGTATCTTACATTATATCTGATTATTAACTGCAGGACTTAAATGTTTAACTTTATTAGTAATTATGCTGATTTGGGTTCTTTAAAAGGTCTTAAGAATTTGTGAATTTATATCTTTATCAGAAACTTTTTAAATTTAAGCTTTTTATTTTGGAATAACTTTGGATTTACAGAAATGTAAAGATAGTAAACAGAGTTCCCTTATTTCCTTCATCCAGCTTTTCTGAGTGTTAACATTTTATGTAACATGCATATTTGTAAAAACTAATAAATTAACAGTGGTACAATATCACTAAGCCACAGATTTTATTAGGATTTTCCCAGTTTTTCCACTAAGGTCCTTTTTTTTATTTTTCCAGGATCCAAGTCCAGAATACTACAGTGCATTTAGTGTAACTTTTGATATTACACAAAATTTATTTTTTGTGATCTTTTGATTCTTAGACCTCAGAGTATTAGTGTCCTAGATTGTTATGTTGTAGGTTATAAAAATATGTTACTTATGATAACAGTATTTTTTTAAATGTGCTGATCTAGCATTTTTAACCTTTTCTATCTTAATTTATTAGAGTTACAGAATACAATTGTTGAATGTTTGACTACATAAATGAAAGTCTTCAGAGGACAGTTCCTTTAAGTCATATTTTTCTTATTTATTGTTGTCACTGGCCCCACCTAGCAGTTTGTTGATAGCTAGTGGAGTACTCAAATACCGTAAAAAGAGTTACTTGATTAATAACATTGTCATTTAAAGTGAGTTTGAAAACAAAGCTCTGTCATAATTATTTAAAGAAAAAAGAAACAATGACTTAACAAAACATCGAAGTATAGAAATTAATTAGGCAAACTTGAATGAATGAACAGCAGAGTACCATAGACTTCCAGACTTAGTCAAAGCAGACTTGCTGAGATCAGCAGAAGAACCAGGAGGGAATATTTTTTCCTCAAAAAATTTAAATGGCAATTTTTTTCAGCTTTATTTTTCTTTCTTTCAAGAATTTTTCATTCTCACAAAGATATTTTTCATTTCATATTCTAGTTTACCTGAGCAGTTTGCCCAGTTTATCATAGGTACTCAATAAATATTGGGTAAACAAGTGAATTTTTTTTTATTGAAAATATGAACATGATAAAGTATGACTTAATATTAATAGAAACCTTTGTGTAAAATATCTTTGAAGTCAGAAGTCATTCTAATTCCTCTCTGCTAAGTTATTAGCACATTGTGGGCCCACAAAATACTGAGGTAATGAATGACAATTTGTGAATATGGGTTACAAAACACATCACCTCTGAAATAGTCTTTTTTATGTTGTAATTCCCTCAAAATTCTGAAATCCCCTTTAGAGATCACATATTTTTTAAAATTTACTTATTCATTCATTCTCTCTTTCTCTTTTTTAAAGGATCTTTCAAACAATTGTCTTAGAACTATTCCTGCTAGTTTTTCTTCTCTGTCCAGTCTGGTGCGACTCAATCTTTCCAGTAATCAACTGAAGAGTTTGCCAGCAGAAATAAGTGGGATGAAAAGTAAATTTTCTCTATTTTAAAAATATGTAAATTTTAAAAATACATAAATACAGTTGGTAACTGGATGTACTGTGTTGAGCATTTGGTAATGTACATAACTATTGAATCACTGTGTTGTACATCTGAAACCAATATTATATTGTGTAACAACTATACCTCAACTTAAAAAAATTAAAATACATAAATTTGAAGTTGGTACAACTTAAATTTGGAAAAATAAATTTTGAATATAATTAGTTACAGAGAAGTCAAATAGATTTTATGGTAATAAATGCAAACACTAGCATCTAGTTATATTTTCTGTAGGCCATTATTGTCCAGCAATTTCCTACACAGTTACCCGCAAAAGTTACTGTATTTTGGCATATTAAAAAGAAGAAAAGAAAATTTGGTTATGAATTGCGGTAAAATTATATACTTGAGAGATTGGTTAAGGTTTTGAGCTATGCTATCTTTTCATTCATAAATTCCTGGTCCATAAGTAATAATGTCAAATAATAGTGTAATAATAAAGTTTATCATTGAACCATCATATGTACAGTATTATAGAACTACTATTAAGGGATAAAAAATTTAAGGTACATTCCGGTATTTTCTAAGTATACTTACATCATCTTAGCATTCTTGACTTAGAGTCCAAAATCATTATAGTGCTTTTTTTTATTTAAAGGCAAATTGTTATTACTTCCTGATTGATGAGCACATTGCATGTTAGCTCTAGATTATTTACCTTATTTATTCTTTTTGGCTAGACATGTATTAGCCCTCTTCACTCTTTTTAAGTCTCCCTTTTGTGGAGGATGTCAGAGAAATGATTTCATATAGTTAATTACAGATCATTTTCAGGTGAATTTGTAAACTGTGCTGTTTTACTTTATATTAACAATTATATGTATTTTATAGTAGGAGTGTATAAGTTCAATCTGCCATAAATTGAATTGACATTTTAGAAGAAGCTTTACTTGTAACTACTGGTGGTTAAAACTATTTGGTTTTGTAATTTGTCAATAAACTTATTAGAAAGTACAGCTAAACATAAAATATAATATCTGGAGTATATAAGAAGCATGGATTTTTTTTCATAAATTGAGTAGAAATACCTTGAGAGAGGGACAGATAGAGAAATAAATAGAAAAATACTTAAAATTTACAGCATTTTTTCTTATGTACTGTATAATTAATGATCAGATGCCTTCTGTCCTTCAACCATGACAGTGATATTATAAGATCACAGGTAGGACATTAAATTGTTATTTCACTATTAATAACCAATCCCAAGAAAAATATCCTAACATTTGTTTTGTTCTTTGTAATTCAAAATGTTTTTACATATATCATTTTGCCATCACAATAGTTCTATATGTTGGGGAGAATGTGTATTACATTTTAGGGATTCATAAACCTAGGCTTAGAAATTATAAATCATAGAGCTAGGGTTTGATTCTCTTGCTCCGTCCCCATCACTCTTTCTTACTACATACTGCTTGTATTCCCAATCAAGGCTCTTAGGTGCAAACAGTTATGAAAACTACAGTTTCTAACTTTAAAAGAAACTTTTTGTAGAATTTACTGGCTTTGGGGTGGGTCATATTGTGACATTTTTCTCAATGCTGTAGCTAAATAAGATAAAATTTATCTGTTAATGGGAAATTAGTAGTTAATTTTGTTAATGTGAAATTGAAAGTAGTGCTATTACTTTTGCAAAGTAGCTTCTTTAAACATAGGAAGAAGCAGTCTAAGGAAGTATATTAACTTAGTCTTAAATTATGTTAAACTTTACAGCTCAAAGTACAGGAAAAAACTTGTAAAATATACATTACAAAATATAGTTGTAAAATTGCCTATTCGAACTAGAGGGTTGAGAGTGAATTGTGTTAAGTATATGGTGACCATCACAAGTGTAAGAATCAGTAATATGGATTAGGGAGAAAACTGCTTATTGAAATAATAAGGGAAAGAAGACTTACTTTTCTCCATTTTTGTTTTCTGTTCTGCCTTTTAAGAAAGATCTTGGAACTAAGAGGTGCTGCAAGTAAGAACATTCTTCTTTAGCTATAGTATACATTCTTGTTAAGAGTTAGCTCAGGTGTTAGAGAAAGCATGTAATTAAAGTAATAGAGAAAAGAAGGGAAAAACAACAGGGAGGGAGAGAGAGGCAATATGGACAGATGGAAAAATAGGAGGGATTGCATAGAATACATAGAAATACATAGAAATAGGAAGGAACACACAGAAAGTCAGCTTGCTCATTTTAAATACAGATGTGTTTAAGCCACTGCTAGCTATTATTTGCCATTCATTCTTACAACTAATATGCATGCATATATATATATATATATCTTTATTTTAAAGTTTTTCTTTTTAAAGGTGTATAATTACCAAGGGAAATAATATTTCATAGAGTATAGTTTATACATCTTAGACTACTTTAACAGAGTGCTAGAGTACTTTGTTTTTAAATATGTCTTATAGGACTGAAGCATTTGGATTGTAATTCAAATCTCTTGGAAACTATACCTCCTGAATTAACTGGCATGGAATCACTAGAATCACTTTATTTGAGGAGGAATAAATTACGTTTTCTACCAGAATTTCCTTCTTGCAAACTATTAAAGGTATTATTTATTTGATTATTAATAACTGTACATTTTCTAAAAATGAATTATGAAAATGAAATATTTAATATCTTTTAACATTGGAAATATGTTTTTCCTATATTTATATTTTTCAGAATTTTAGTATAACTAAAGACATTAATGGTATTGTTAGTAATAGATTTTTTTAAAGAAATAATCAACTTTAAAAATAATAATTTATCCATGTCATCTGGTAAATAGTATATAATTGGAGAAATAGTAGAAGACAAGGCCAAAATGGTAAGTTGGGGCCATATTGTAGGAGACCTGGAATACCAGGAAGGAATATATATCTAATTCTGTAAGTTGCTATTTTTTGTGTTTACCTGAACATAATCAGGTCTGTTTAAAATGAATTACTTTCTTTTGGCTTTAAGTATTTAACATTAACATTGTCTTTCATGCTTGCTGTGCTTTGCTTCCTTTTATGTATACTCTTTTGCATTAACCTGTTAAAGAATTTCTTTTAAACAGAATGGTGACAGTTATTACAAGAACTGAAAGGTTATCTAATGAAATAAATTATCCATCTGATAATTATAGATTTTGTTAATGGGAAATCAGCATATATAATAATTACTAATGAAAATATTGAATGACTAACTGATTATACTATAAATAACTTTAAACCTATGCTGATTTGTTTTAAAACTTAAATTTTTCATCAGTATAGTTCTTGTTTTTGTATTTTATTAATTCCATAAATGTAACCACTAAATCAGTTCTCTCTTGGTTTTAAGAACTTTGAACTTTCTTCCAGATTAAATTTTATTTTTTAAACTACCAGAAGATTCTTGAAAATTTTATTTTTGCATTTTCATTTACCTGTAAGATGCCTTAAACATAATTGAAATTTTAAGCATCTTAGTAATTAGAAAGTTGTTTTTTCCATGTTTTTCAATGATTTGAAGTTAAGATTTCAATTTTATTTTCATTATCTAATACAAAATTGAACACAGAAATACACATGATTGATCTTTGGTTTTGTAGGAATTACATGTAGGAGAAAACCAGATTGAAATGTTAGGGGCAGAACATCTTAAGCACCTGAATTCTATCCTTGTGCTAGACCTGCGGGATAATAAGTTAAAATCTGTTCCAGATGAAATTACGCTGCTACAGTCTTTGGAAAGGCTTGACTTAAGCAACAATGATATTAGTAGGTAAGTTTAAAGAACAAATGAATAAGAAATTACGGCTATATTTGGTTATAATTCAAAAGTTAAAATATTTGTAAAAAGCATATAGAAATCTTTTTTTTAATAGAGTTCAGTAAATACTCATTTTGCAGGTATCATGTGCAGACCTACAAAGAATAATTAGGTTTTTTCCTGTCAGCAAGCTTAATATGCTAATAGAATCAGATATAATTATAAGTTGCTCTAACCCATTAGAACTTCAGTTCTAAGAAGTTTGGATTTTTATCTGTTCTGTTTACTGATCTATCTTCAGTCAGTGCCTGGATATATAGAAGGTGCCTGATAACTATTTTTTGACTTTGTTAAAAGAATTTAAAGCCATGGGAGAGAGAGATTATTTGGGGGCTTAAAAGATATGGGAATCACAAGTTATTGAGAAGAATCAGGACAGACTTGTGTGGAAGAAATAATATTCTTCAATGATCTTTAGGACTGGGACTAGGATGAGTCAAGCTAATTGCCTAGATTACAGAATTTAAGAACACCCTCACTTTCAGGATAATGCCCTACCCTAGTCCCATCATGTGACCTTTATAAAGGATTACCATGATTTTCAAGAGCACTTGTAAGGTCATCAGAATGATTCACTTGGCAGGGGGAACTGTTACAAACAAAGCTTTGAAGTTCAGAAAATGGTAGGGATGTATTCAGAGAACAGCAAGGAATCAAATTGCACTGGCAAATAAGGTGCAAGTAAGGAGACTGAGAATTTAGGATTTGAAAGATAAATTAAGGCCTTGTGGAAGAGATCCTTGAAATGCCTGTGAAGATTCAATTTTCATTAGTTGGTGGGGAGCTATTAAAAGACTAAGAACAGATCCAATTTGATTGTAATTTCTTTAAAAAATAAATTGGTGAGGATTAAAGATGGTGGTGTGAGAGGTGAGACAGAGGCTTCCTCCTAAAACTGTATATAATATGAAAATATAATTAATACAACTAATCCTGAGAGAGCAACAAGAAAGAGGACTGCTCCAGACTGCATACACCTGGAGAAAAGAGCAGACCTCATGGAACAGGGTAACTTACCAAAGCTGTGGCCCTGTGGGACCCAAGCCCTTCCCCCACCCCAGCTCACCAGTGGGAGGAAGAGAAATGGAGCGGGGAGGGAATGGAGGCCTGGGACTGCTGAACACCGAGCTCTGGAGATCTACTCTGGGAGCACACATTTCATGGTGCTTTCATGATACTCTCATGATTACGGGATTGGAAAGCTAAGACAGGCAGAATTCCTGGAGAACTGAGATTCAGGCCACTTGTGGAAAGCAGGGATCCCTATCCAGCTGCTCTGGGACAAAAGCTTATACTGGTGTGCTTGTCCCACTGGTTCAGGCAGTGGAGACAGGCATAGCAGCTGGGAAACAGGAAACAGCTTTTTCCTCCCCCCAGGCAACAATACCACTGCCCTGAGACCCCCGACATTGCGTCAGGGGCTGAGCAGCTCCAGAGAGTGGAGCTACTGGACACTAGAGGGCGCCATATACAAATATGAAATGCAAAGGAACCTGGTACAGAGTAAAATTATTATAACCCCTGAGAAAGATGACATGGACCTCATGACTCTTCCTGAAAGGAAGTTCAAAATAAAAATCATTAACATGCTAATGGAGGTACGTTATTCAAGAACTCAGGAATGAATTCCGGTCAGAGATCCAATTGTTGAAGAGCACAATGGAGGGTATTAAAAGCAGGTTGGACAGTGGAGGAGACGATAAATGAAATAGAAATTAGAGAAGAGGAATACAAAGAAGCTGAGGCACAGAGAGCAAAAAAGATCTCTAAGAATGAAAGAAAATTGAGAGAATTATGTGACCAATCCAAATGGAACAATATTCGCATTATAGGGGTACCAGAAGAAGAAGAGAGAGAGAAAGGGATATAAAATATCTTTGAGGAGGTAATTGCTGAAAACTTCCCCAATCCAGGGAAGGAAATAGTCTCTCAGGCCATGGAGATCCTCGGATCACCCAATACAAGGGACCCAAGGAACACAACACCAAGACATATAGTAATTAAAATGGGAAAGATCAAGGATAAGGACAGACTGTTAAAAGCAGCCAGAGAGAGAAATAAGACCACATACAAAGGAAAGCCCATCAGACTAACATCAGACTTCTAAGCAGAAACCTTATAGGCCAGAAGGGAGTGGCATGGTGTATTTAATGCAATGAAGCAGGAGGGCCTAGAACCAAGATTACTTTATCTGGCAAGATTATCAATTGAATTTGAGGGAGGGATTAAACAATTTCCAGATGAGCAAAAGCTGAGAGAATTTACTTCCCACAAACCATCTCTACAGTCTATTTTGGAGGGACTGCTATAGATGGAAGCCTTCCTAAGGTTTAATAGCTGTCACCAGAAGTAATAAAACCACAGTAAAGAAGTAGAACAGCTAATTACTAAGCAAATGCAAAATTAAATTAACTATTCCCAAAGTTAATCAAGGGATAGACAAAGAGTACAGAATATGATACCTAATATATAAAGAATGGAGGAGGAATAAAAAGGAGGAGAAAAAGAAAAGAACCCTTAGATGTGTTTGGAATAACATATTAAGTGAGTTAAGTTAGACTCTTACATAGTAAGGAAGTTAATCTTGAACCTTTGGCAACCACGAATCTAAAGCCTGCAATGGCATTAAGTACATACCTATTGATAATCACCCTAAATGTAAATGGACTGAATGCACCAGTCAAAAGAGGTAGAGTCACTGAATGGATAAAAAACAAGACCCATCTATATGCTGCCTACAAGAGACTCACTTTAAACGCAAATACATACACAGACTAAAAGTGAAAGGATGGAAAAAGATACTTCATGCAACTAAAGAGAGAAAAAAGCAGGAGTTGCAGTACTTATATCAGATAAAATAGACTTCAAAACAAAGAAAGTCTCAAGACACAAAGAAGGACATTACATAATGATAAAGGGGTCAATCCAACAAGAATATATAACCATTATAAATATCTATGCTCTCAACACAGCAGCATCTACATACGTGAAACAAATACTAATAGAATTAAAAGGTGAAATAGAATGCAATGCATTCATTGTAGGAGACTTCAACACTCTACTCACTCTGAAGGACAGATCAACCAGACAGAAAATAAGTAAGGACACAGAAGCACTGAACAACACGTTAGAACAGATGGACCTAACAGACATCTACAGATCTCTGCACCCAAAAGCAGCAGAATACATTCTTCTCAAGTGCACAAGGAACATTTTCAAGAATAGACCATATACTAGGCTACAAAAAGAGCCTCAGTAAATTCAAAAAGACTGAAATTGTACCAACCCGTTTCGCAGATCACAAAGGTATGAAACTAGAAATAAATTACGTGAAGAAGATTGAAAATCCAGCAAACACATGGAGGCTTCAAAACATGCTCCTAAATAACCAATGGATCAATGACCAAATAAAAACAGAGATCAAGCAATATGTGGAGACAAATGACAGCAGTAATTCAGCATCACAAAAATCTGTGGGACGCAGCCAAGGCCATGCTAAGAGGAAAGTATATTGCAATACAGGCTTAACTCAGGAAAGAAGAACAATCCCATATAAGCAGTCTAAATTCACAATTAATGAAACTAGAAAAAGAAGAACTAAGAGGCCCAAAGTCAGTAGAAGGAGAGACATAATAAAGATTAGAGCAGAAATAAATAAAATTGAGAAGAATAAAACAATAGAAAGAATCAATGAAAGCAAGAGCTGCTTCTTTGAGAAAATAAACAAAATAGATAAACCCCTAGCCAGACTTATAAAGAAAAAAAGAGAGTCTACACACATAAACAGAATAAGAAATGAGAAAGGAAAAAATCACTATGGACACCCTAGAAATAAGAAGAGTTATTAGGGAATACTATGAAAAATTATATACTAACAAACTGGATAACCTAGAAGAAATGGACAACTTTCTAGAAATATACAACCTTCTAAGGCTGACCAAGGAAGAAACAGAAAATCTGAGCAGACCAATTACCAGCAATGAAATCGAACTGGTAATCAAAAACCTACATAAGAACAGAACCCCTGGACCAGATGGCTTCACCACTGAATTTTATCAACATTTAGTGAAGACCTAATACCCATCCTCCTTAAAGTTTTCCAAAGAGTAGAAGAAGAGGGAGTACTTCCAAACTCATTCTATGAGACCAGCATCACTGTAATACCAAGACCAGGCAAAGAAACCACAAAAAAAGAAAACTACAGACCAATATCCCTGATGAACATAGATGCAAAAATACTCAACAAAATATTAGCAAACTGAATTCAAAAATATGTCCAAGAGATCATCCATTATGATCAAGTAGGATTTATTCCAGGGATACAAGGATGGTACAGCATTCGAAAATCCTTCAACATCATCCACCTCATCAACAAAAAGGACAAAAATCACATGATCATCTCCATATATGCTGAAAAAGCATTCAACAAAATTCAACAGCCATTCATGATAAAAACTCTCAACAAAATGGGTATAGATTTCAAGTGCCTCAACATAATAAAGGCCACAAACCCACAGCCAACATCATACTTAACAGTGAAAAGCTGAAAGCTTTTCTTTTAAGATTGGGAACAAGACAAGGGTGCCCACTTTCCCTAGTTCTATTCAACATACTGGATGTCCTACCCATGGCAATAAGACAACACAAAGAAAGAAAAGGCATCCAAATTGGCAAGGAAGAAGCTAAACTGTCCCTGTTTGCAGATGACATGGTATTGTACATAAAAACCCTAAAGAATCCACTCCAAAACTACTAGAATTCATATCAGAATTCAGCAAAGTTGCAGGAAACAAAATTAATACACAGAAATCTGTGGCATTTCTATACACTAACAATGAACTAGCAGAGAGAGAATTTAGGAAAACAAGTCCATTCACAATTGCATCAAAAAGAATAAAATACCTAGGAATAAACCTAACAAGGAAATGAAAGCCTATACCCTGAAAACTACAAGACACTCTTAAGAGAAATTAAAGAAGATACCAATAAATGGAAACTCATCCCATGCTTTTGGATAGGAAGAATCAATATTGTCAAAATGGCCATCCTGCCTAAAGCAATCTATAGACTCAATGCAGTTCTTATCAAAATACCAACAGCATTCTTCAACGAACCAGAGAAAATTGTTGTAAAATTCATATGGAACCACAAAAGACCTCAAATAGCCAAAGCAATTCTGAAAAGGAAGAATAAAGCTGGGGGCATTACGCTTCACAACTTCAAGCTCTACTACAAAGCCACAGTAATCAAGACAATTTGGTACTGGCACAAGAACAGACCCATAGACCAATGGAACAGACTAGAGAGCCCTGATATAAACCCAACCATATATGGTCATTTAATATATGATAAAGAAGCCATGCATATACAATGGGGAAATGTTTCTGTACAGCAAAGGACACCCATCAACAGAACAAAAAGGCATCCTACAGTATGGGAGAATATATTTGTAAATGACATGTCCGACAAGGGGTTAATATCCAAAATATATAAAGACCTTACACGCCTCAACACCCAAAAAGCAAATAACCCAATTAACAAATGGGCAGAGGATATGAAGAGACAGTTGTTCAAAGAAGAAATTCAGATGGCAACAGACACATGAAAAGTTGCTGCACATCACTAATCATCAGAGAAATGCAAATTAAAACCACAATGAGGTATCACCTCACACCAGTAAGGACGGCCAGCATCGAAAAGACTAAGAACAACAAATGCTGGTGAGGATGTGGAGAAAGGGGTACCCTCCAACACTGCTGGTGGGAATGTAAGCTAGTTCAACCATTGTGGAAAGCAATATGGAGGTTCCTCAAAAAACTAAAAAGAGAAACACCATTTGACCCGGGAATCCCACTGCTTGGAATTTACCGAAAGAATACAACTTCTCAGAATCAAAAAGACATATGTACCCCTATGTTTATTGCAGCACTTTTTACAATAGCAAGGATATGGAAGCAAACTAAATGTCCATCAGTAGATGAATGGATAAAGAAGATGTGGTACATATACACAATGGAATACTATTCGACCATAAGAAAGAAACAAATCCTACCATTTGCAACAACATGGATGGAGCTGGAGCACCTTATGCTCAGTGAAATAAGCCAGGCGGAGAAAGACAAATGCCAAATGATTTCCCTCATTTGTGGAGTATAACAATGAAGTAAAACTGAAGGAACGAAATAGCAGCAGACTCAGAGACTCCAAGAATGACCTGGTGGTTACCAAAGGGGAGGTGTGTGGGAGGGCAGGTGGGCAGAGAGGGGAGGGGGTTTGAGGGGTATTATGTTTAGTACACATGGTGTGGGGGATCACTGGGAGAACAGTGTAGCACAGAGAAGGCACATAGTGGAACTGTCTCATCTTGCTTCACTGATGGACAGTGACTGCATTGGGGTATGGGTGGGGACTTGTAATATCGGTAAATGTAGTAACCACATGGTTTTTTCATGTGAAACCTTCATAAGAGTGTATATCAATCATACCTTAATAAAAAAATTGATGATAATGGGTTGGATACATTGGATAGGAGTGGTTTGATAGGTGGGAAATCTAAATAAACTCTATTAGATTTATAGAATATAGAATAGTATTTATAATTAAGGAATATTTGCTATAGCCAATTCTTTGTGGTTGAAAATTTGTAGATTTATCTCTTACATAATGAGAACCTAAACTGTGGTGACAATGGGACGGAAAGAGGAGGAAAGATGTGAAAAGCATGATGTGTTATAATGAATGTGTTGGAAATGAAGGGAGTAACGACCAAAGAATCACAAAAAGTTATTGAACCATAAAATTTAGAGGTGGAGCTATTTTAGAGATACAAAAAGTAAGACTCAGATTTACCTAGGATTATCTACCAAGACTCAGATTTACCTGGGAGTATACAGTAATTAGATGTCTGAGGTTTTGTATTTGGATGTCAGAAACTTCATTTGCCATTCACAGGTGGAGAAAGGTTAAGCAAGGCAGATTCTTTTTTATGTGCTTACTTCAATAAATATTTTTAATAATCAAAATGGTTTTCCGGTGCACACAGGGCATATATTAGGTCTTGATAATAGATTTGAATTCTTGGACAGTGAGCACTCTTTTCACTTCTGTTTATAACAAAATTAATAAGTGATCTGGATATCCCTAAAACTGCTTATCTTACAGTGAAAGAATGAAATAGTCTCTTGCCTCTTACAAAAATTGACATAAATTTTTCCCCATGGCAATTTATTTTGGCTACTGCAAGAAAGCACTGGAAAGGAAATACCTAAAACAAAAAGTATGGTAAAATGTTAAGTATATGAAGTAATTGGCACAAATATTTCTGATATATATGTTCTTCTCTCCAGAGTTCTGAATATAAAGGTGCATATCTCACAGGGCCTAGAACATAATGGCGTTTAATTAACATTAGCTTCTTCTCCTCTAACTCTATATATCCTAGATGTTTATTCTACTCACTTTGTACCCCTCCAGAATCTTCTCTAACCACAATATGAATTCTTCACTCTGCTACCAGAGTAGTTTTATAAAATACAAATTATCAAGTCATTCTGCTAAAAAGCTTTGATGGTTCTTCATTGTTATAGAACTGTTTTCCAAATATAGCTATGTATCAAAATCACTAAGAAGCTTTAAGAAAAAAAACAATACAGATTCTGAGGCACCAGTGAATCAGAATTTCTTACAGTGGTACCATAGAATTATTTTGTTTATTGTTTTAAACAATTCCTGGGAGATTTTGATACCTCTGGTTTTCCAACCAGCAGCTGGACTGTCTTACCAGATAAAGTTTTAGCATAACATTCAAGGGCATCTCACAGTCAGACTTCATTTATTCCCTATCATCTTTCACTCCTACAAGTATCTTACTCTCTGACTATACTGACCTATATAAATGTACTTACTTTTTCTACATTTTGTTCCTTTACCTGAGAATACCCTTTTCCTGCCTTCCCTGCCTGATGGAATCTCATTCTTTTTAGGCCCAAATCCAAGCTTTGCTGTTCCCTTCACCCTGTGCCCCCTTGCTAATTACTACAGATCTAGTCTCATAGCAAATTTACTTGTTTAGCATTTGTCTTATTACATCTGTATATTTTCTATCCTACTTATTTGTCAATGTATAATATACATGGTATAAAATTCACCAATTCAAGTGTATAAATTATATGACTTCTAACAAATGTGTATGTTTGTATAATCATTGTCACAGTCATATAGAACATTTCTGTCCCTCTGAAGGTTCCTCATATCCTTTGCAGTCAATCCCTTTAACCTCTAACAACCACTGATGTGGTCGGTCATTGTAGTTTTGCCTTTTTTAGAATATCATGTAAATGTAATCACACAATGTATTTTTTGTGTGTGTCCATCATCTTTCATGTAGCATAAAGCTTTTACGATATATTCATGTGATTGTGTGTATCAGTTGTTATTCATATTTATTGCTGAATGATATTCATTATACAGATACACTGCACTTTATTCATGTCTTTACTAGGTAGATGATGGACATCTGGATTGTTTTCAGTTTTTTTACCATTGTGAACATTCATATAAAAGTCTGTGTGGACATTATTCATTTCTCCTGGGATTGCTTAGTTGTATGGTAACTGTATGTTTAACTTTAAATGTCTCTGTTTTCTTAAGTGGCTGTACTATTAATATGCTCACCAGTAACATAAGATAATTCTTATTTATTGTATTTTGGTTAATTGTGTATGTTTTTCTCCTTTGTTCAACTGAGAGCACCTTAAGGGCAAGGATCTTGATATCCCTATGCCAATGCCTAGTATATGACAGATGTTTAATAAATTTTAAGATTGAATATTTTTGTGTATAAGCAGGTTATCTTTTTGTGTACCAAAGATAAACATGACTTAGCTTATTGAATGAAAAAATGAATTGGTTGATTAAAAAAAATTATTTTTGTCATCTTTTTATTTAGGAAGAATTTTATTTGCTTACTTGAAGGGCTAAAATCAAAACATTTAGTATCAGGATGGCTATCTGGAGTCACTGCTTCATTCAAATTTATATTTTGAACATGTATTTTTCAGTAATGGATACAATTGAGAAAATATGTTATAGCTCCTGTTCTTTTTTAGCAATTACATTATGACAGCTTTGAAACAAATCTGTTTGCTCTTTTACCTCTTCAGTATTTATCTCAAGGGAAAATATCTTAGACCTACATTACTTGGGCTTTCTTTGAAACTATTATATGATGTGTATTTTGTCATATGATGTTAGTTTTATAGTAAATTATTTGGTTGAATTATACTTATCTTTAATGTTTTCCCTGAAATCAATTTAATCTTTTCTAGTCTACCCTATTCATTGGGAAAACTTCATTTGAAATTCCTGGCACTAGAAGGAAATCCTTTGAGAACAATTCGAAGAGAAATTATAAATGTAAGCAATATTGGAATTTAGCTCTGGTCTCAAATTTGAAATTCAAATATACAAAGTATGTATTGGTGAATATGTTTCTCCCTGTCTTTTCAGAAAGGAACTCAAGAAGTGTTAAAATATCTACGAAGCAAGATTCAAGGTACCTTTCTATTTTCTCATATATTTTGAAGGATGGTGAAGTGTTAATAGTAATAAACTTACAAGTATTTTGGGTATAAATAACTAGAGGAAATAGTTCCTGGCAGGGGTGACACTGATTTTGAATCCATACAGGGCTACTTTGCTAAGTTCTGAAAAAAAAATAAAGATAAAACACATTTTTCAGGATATGTTAATTTAGCATGAACCTGTACCAAAAGAGAAAATGATACTATAATTTTTAATGCTTCACTAAAATAGTGATATATTCCCATTTTTATTTCATGTATGTCATTGTAGCATACATTAGAGCATTAAAAATTTGTTATACTAGTATATTATTACATAGCAAATCACTCCAAAACTTAGTAGCTAAATAACAGCAGCTATTAATTTATCTCTTTTTGTTAGGTCTATGCCTGTTGTTAACAACTCTGTTGGTTATGCACAGCCTGGCCCAGCACCATATTGCTAGTCAGTATGTTAACTGAGTCAGACAGTTTGGTACTGGGACTCATTCCTACCAATAAAAGTTTCCTTTCTTTTGCTTTCTTCTATAGAAAAAATGATTATTCTGAAATGAATCAATTAGAAGTCATATTAGAATAATCAAATTTTTTAAAGACTTTTTTTTTTTAGAATGATTTTAGGTTTACAAATTGAGAGAAAAGTACGGATTTCTCATATATGTTCTGTCCCCACACATGCATAGCTTCCCACATTATTGGCATTGCTGACCAGGCCGGTACACTTTTTACCAGGGATGAACCTATAGTAACCTGTCATAATCATCCCAAGTTCATGGTTACCTTAGGGGTCTCTTGTTCTCATAGTTACCATAGTTACTTTTTTTAGTTGCACCTACATGGGTTTAGACAAATGTATAATGACATGTACCTGTCATTCTAATGTTATACAGTTGCCCTAGAATCCTCTGTGATCTGCCCTGAAAATCCTTTTTTGCTCTGTCTGCTCATCCTCCCTATCCCCCAACCTGGCAACTTTTTCTAGTCTCCATGATTTTTTCTTTCCCAGAGTATCATATAATTGGAATCATACAGTCTATAATCCTTTCAGATTGGCTTCTTTCACTTAGTAATATGCATTTAAGCTTTATCTATGCCTATTCATGGCTTGATGGCTCATTTCTTTTTAGCACTGAATAATATTCTATTGTCTGGATATACGACAGGTTTTTCTATCTAGTCTCCTATTGAAGGACATAGTAGTTGCCTCCAAGTTTTGGCAATAAAGCTGCACTTTTTTGCATGTGGATGTCCTATTGTTTCAGCAGCATTTGTAGAAAAGACTTTTTGCTCCTTTGTATTGCCTTTGCTTTTTTGTCAAAGATCAGTTGACTATATTTATGGGGATCTCTTTCTGGGCTCTCTATTCTGTTCTACTGATCTACTTGTTCTTTTGCCAATTCAACTGTCTTGATTACTAAAGTTTATAATAAGTCTTGAAGTTGGATAGCATTAGTCCTTGATTTTGTTCTTCTTTAATATTGTATTAGCTATTGAGGGTGTTTTGCCTCTCCATATACACTTTACAATCAATGTGTTGATATCAACAAAATAACTTGCTGGGATTTTGATTGGGACTGTGTTGAATCCACTGATCAGAGAAGAACTAATATCTAGAGAGTATTGAGTCTTCCTGTTCATGAACATGGAATATCACTCCATTCATTTAGGTCTTTGATTTCATTCATATCTCTCCATTCATTTAGGTCTTTGATTTCATTCATCAGAGTTTTGTAATTTTCTTCATAAACTTCCTTGTATATTCTGTTAGATTTATACTTAAGTATTTCATTT